TGCATATAGGTAAAGGACTGCAGTAACTTTCAATTTAATAATCCTAAAAAATTATTAAATACAGCAAACTTGAACACAAGTCCAAACACGCTGTCTTCATTTAATTTGGAAGAAAAAGAAGGCACAGGAAGGATACTGAAAAATTGAAGACTTCATTTGGAGTTTTGTCTCTCATGCATAAGTGATAATTTCGGCTATAATCATTATTTTCTTTTTCTTTCTCTTTCTAATTTTCAGAGGAGCTGAGTCCTCCTCACCCCACTTTAAATAGTATTTGTGAGCAAACTCATGGCGTGTGTTGGAGACAGAGGTCTTGCACCTTACTCATCCTTCATTGCACAGCAGAAATCTTGGGCCCGATCCAAAGATACCAGTGCTCAGTGAATCAAGCTCAGTCACTTTAAATGAATGTAGCTTTCAAGGAATTAGCTTTACAGGAGGAAACAAGAGCGGATCATTTTACATTTCTGGCTCATTTTTTTTTTAAATGTGGGAGGCTTCCTCCGTTTCACACATTTGGCATATTGTCCAGTTACTCCTCCTTCCTGAAAGCAGAACCTGCAAGTGTAGACCGCAAGTCAGGGCAAGGAACATTTCTTCCTCTGCTCCAAACTTCTGCCAATCCCAACGAATGATTGATCAAAGCTGGGCTTTGAATTCAGATCACCTCTGCAGTTATGAAATGCTGAAAACGCTTCCTTCCGCTTTACTGAAGAAGAAAAAGACGGCAACTGCTTTGTTTGGGAGTAATTCAGTTCCCCTTCCCAGTGACTAACTTGCATTTCACAGCGTTGCTGCGGGTGGAGGTGTCACCCACAATACACACAGCGTTCGGTGGTCGGCCAGTATTCATCCTTGGGCATGTGGTCAACTGAACTCTGATTTTATGATCTCTTTCAGAATCCAAGCTGGGTTTTTTTTTGTCTGTTCCAGACAACTGCCACATCCACTTCACCCAGATGGCTTGTTTCCAAGGAGTTCACTCAAAGCAGATACTTTGCAGAATCGTTATAAAATAAGCATTTTAGTATCCTTCTCCTCACAGTAAGGTAGTCTTATAGCTAGTGCCTCATCATAAGGTCTACCTTATGCCTTCTGTTCTTCTTTTACACTTGCAGTAGAAAAATAGAAGTGTAGTGAAAGACTACAACCACTGCACTTTGGAAACGTATCACTCCAATTGTGAAACAGCATAAACCAGCACTAAGAAGCATTAACTAATGTCGACAGGCAGAAAAAAATAAAAAGGAATTTCAGTGTTCTGCCTGGCTGGAATTGCTCACAAGAATGCTGTGTGTTGTAGTTCATTAATGCAAGGAAAAAAATCAACTCATTTTGAAATAAAAGTAAGTTTTTTTCATCACAGTGAAAAGCAGCGAAGGTAAGATGAAGCAGGAAGACCAACAAGAGGATTAACTCTTGCCTGCAGCAAACAGTACCATTTGATTGGAGGTATGATACCATCATACCTCCAGGCAGTTTGTTGCAGTGTCCCATCACGTGCTGGGAATATCGACAGTCATTCCTATGCTTGTCCTCATGCACACACAGAGCACAGAAATATCAGTCCCTTTGGTTGAATATTTTGAAACTGAAACGCTTCTTTCCATGCTGTGTGCCAGTGAATTGGGATTTGGAGTGACACACACTGTCAAGCCTGGTCTCCGAATGCCTCAGTGGCATCTTCCCAGAGGAGAACCAGGATAGGGAACTTCTAAACAAACTGGACATACATAAATCAGTGGGGCTTGTTGGGATGCACCCACCTGCCCAGAGGGAGCCGGCTGATGGCACTGAGGCCATTCTCAATTATCTTTTTTTTCACGGTGATAGGGAGAGGCTTCTGAAGACTGAAAGAAAGCAAATGCCGCTCCCATCTTCAGCAAGAGCAAGAAGAATGAGCTGGGGAACTACAAGCTGGTCAGCCTCACCTCAATCCCTGAGAAACTGATGCAGCAACTTATGCCGGAAACCATTTTGAGAGACACGAAGGATGGGAAGGAGATCATGAGTAGGTATCATGGATTTATGAAGGAGTAATTATGCTTAACCAACTTGATAGCCTTCCACAACGAGGTAACTAACTCAGTGAGCCAGGAGAGAGGTGTGGATGTTGTTTACCTCGGCATGAGCAAGGTGTTTGATGCGGTTTCCCATAAAATCCTCATAAATAAGCTGACAAAGTACGGTTTAGGTAAGCAGTGAGGTGGACTGAAAACTGGCTTGCGGTTCACCGTGTGGTCAGTGGCCCAAAGTCCAGCTGGAGGCCAGTCAGTAGTGGTGTACCCCAGGGGTGGACACTCGTGCCAATACTGTTTAACCTCTCCACTGGATGATGGGTCCGAGTGCACCCTCAACAAGTTTGCAGATGATAACAAAGCCAGGATGAGTGGCTGATGTACCAGATGGGCATGCTGCTGTTCAGGGGGACCTCAACAGGCTGAAGAAGCGGGCAGACAGGAATCTCACGAAGTTCCACAAAGGTACATGCACAGTCCTGCCCCCGGGGAGGAACAACGCAGGCACCCATACACACTGGGGGCTGAGAGGCTGGAAAGCAACTCTGCTGAGAAGAACCTGGGGGTCCTTCCTGGTGGACACCAAGCTGACCATGAGTCAACAATGCATGGCAAAAAAGGCCAACAGTATGCTGGGGTGTGTTAGGAGCATTGCCAGCAGGCTGTGGGAGGTGATCCTTACCCCTACTCAGCCCTGCTGAGACACATGAACAGAAAAGGATTTAAATTTCTCCACCCTGTAGAAACTGACACTTAATTAACATCCTCTCAGTTTGAAGTCATAGCACAAAATGCATAAAAGTTTGCCTGGGTAGAGAGACCTGTGTTACTGAATTAGTGTCTTGATATACACACATGAGCTTTGGTGAAAAAATGATATGCGTTTGGTACTTAAACTTGTGTTAAAAAAAAAAAAAAAAAAAAAGAGACTTTAGGAGCTAGATATGCATATAATTTACTCAGCTCACTACTGGGAATGAGTTATTAATCCCCTGGAGGGAGACTAAACGCCTGCTGCGTAGCTGACCATTCAGCATCCATACAGTTCTTTTCAGTCACGGGTACTACGAGCATGATCCAGGACCATACGGATGAACAAGGAATGATTGACGAGGTTCTCAGACAGAAACAGGTTATCTGGAGATCCTTCAACAGAACAAGAACAACAGCATGCTGGAGAGAGTGCTTTTAGGACAGGCATCTCCTAGGGAACACAACAAAAACCTGTGAAGTTTGCCATGCTATCTTACAGAATCACTACCAAGGAATAAAACCATCCCCTGCCCTTAGTGAAAGCCAATTTAAAGTGGTCTGTTTATTCAGTCTGCAGCTTTTTTCCATTGTTCATTAAAACCTGTTATTGTAGCACAAGTGGAATTCAGGAGGCGATCTCTCTCGGTGATGGTATGATTAGTGAGAATATTAGACTTCAACTTTATCTCAGCAAATAATGGGCTCTCTCTGGAATAGCTGAAACTTTGACAGGAAGGAAGAGACATTAGTGGGAATTTCCCCTAGATAACAGTCCTAGGTTTATAGAAATCCTGTTCCATTATCTCTAAATATTATACAGTTGTAAATATACAGAGCAACTGCATTTACTGTGCTGAATTTGGAAACACAGTGCTCTCTGCAAGAATCTTCAATATTTTTGTTTTACATGCCTTTTTATACTCAAAATGACAAAATTTTGATAAATTTGGGGACAAAAATACAGAACTTCTGCTTTAATGGACTCAGGGCATTTTCAATTCTTTGTCTACTCCAGTTCTATAAACTGAAGCATATAGGCTACTTCTTTTTCGGAAAACTTTTCTAAGAGAGCAGAACGCCTGTAAGTCCAGACCTCACTGTTTTTTATTATTTTTTGAAAAAGGCTAGATTACTGTCTGGCTAAGACTGCTGTCTACAGTCAACTGTGCTTTTTTTCTCTTTGATCAGGATTAGCTTACAACACACTAGGTGGAGAAAATTAACAATAGGTAGTTTGTAATTACATTACATGTAGAATGTGAGGGAAATATATACATGGAATTTTTGTTTTATGTAAATGTTTTCTGAGATTCCTGTATCATAAAGCACATTGTTATTTTTTCATCAGTCCTGTTTTTGTTCTATGTTGAATTTCTTTCTATGTATTTTTGTCAAAGTAGAGGTTGCATATGACACTGCAGCTTGAAACCTGAGGAAAAAAACATTGCAGAAAATACAAATAATTCTCCCTGTTATTTTATTGGTGAATACTACAAAAGTAAAATGCTTCGCACGAGGTCAGTATTAGCTATGTTTCACTACTTTTTATCACAGTTCTCTCCTTATAATTACATTAAAAAAATATAAAATAAGGAATTTAATCCGTTCTCCATTGGGAAATGAAAATTTGCTAACAGATCCAAAGTACATTTGCTTTCATTATAAGACTTTATACTATGAAGCAATTCTGACTTACAAGGATAGTTGCAATCCTTAGATTTTTTTTCTTACTTTTTAAAAACAGCCATTTAAATAGGGATGGTGTGCTGATATTACAATTTATCTTACTACTATACTTCATTTAAGAAAATGCATAGGAGGGCCTGTCAGGCAGTCCTTATTCAGGGAAAACTCCTATTCTGTTTGGCAGGGATAGGACTGCAAGACAATTAGAGATTCCCTGTGTAAAATAGACTGAAATTTCACATTTGAGGTGCAAACCAGCAATGCGCCTCAATAAAACGTTTTGATGATTTTACACTCATTGTGCAGTATTCCCTTTTTATTTCTACAAGTGTCTAAATTTCAGAAGTTTATTTCTAAAATTTTTAAATGTTGCAAAAGGAGGGATACTATTAAAACCTGTAACTTCTAAAAACCTGGAAAAATATTTTTAAGAATATCTGTCACTGTAGTGGTGAGCGAATGAGCTCAGTAGTCCAGCTTTCCATGCTGCCTGTGCACATCTCTCATTGTGGGTCCATTGAGGCAGGAAGGAAGTGCCTGAGTTCAGTTCTTGGTGTTCTGTAAAGCTTCTATGAGAGCTTTGTTGTATTCTGTGACCAGCTTTCTCACGTTCTTCATTATTGGCTGGTAGTCACTCTCCTGACTTTTGGTTGCTATGACTGATTAAAAGAATTAAGGACACAAACTGCCAGTATAAATATTAGCATAATTAGAGAGCATACAGGAACCATAATATAGTAAGTTTCCTTCTGTGAAAACTCAAGGATTGCAAATAATGGAAAAAACTCAATTTACTAGCTGCCATCTCATGCTAAGCATAATAAAAAAAAAAGAGATTACATGCCTGAGTCAGGTTTTGTTTTTTTTTTCACATATATCGGCAATTGGTCCCTCATGGAAGACTCTGCCTATTGTTAAACTGCAATTAAAACTATTTCGAGATAGTTAGCGACTTACAGCCATACAGCTTGGCACTTTAGAACCCTGGCCACAAAAGTTCCAGTCCATAAAAGCAGGACCTTTCTTTCCACTAGTCCAAGCAGGCATAAAACTCTGTACAAGGGTCCGCATTTGGATGCTTAATGCATTGTAGCAACTTTTTCTCTTGGTTTGTTTTAGAGTTTTTTCTGTTAGAAAGAACAGAATCTAAGATTCTTGCCTTAACAAAATATACCCGTAGAGCCTTCTTCATCGAGGAGGTGGCTCAACTTACGTGACTTTTTTTGAGATTTTTTCTAAGAATTAGAGCAGATACAAGAAATGGGATATTTGGTATATGAAAAATATAATGCTTATATTATTTTTTTTTTTTTTCCTGATGGCTAGGCTATTACAGAGTTGCCTGAAATACATTCTTGTGCCATTTTCTGAGTCATGTACACAACACAGAACACTGGATGATACAGTATAGTTTTGCTGTTACTTTTAGGAATTACATTTGTACTATAATCATGTAACAGTGATTCCATGCATCTTTGAGATTTCAGATTTTTTGTTTCCTAAATCATTTTAAAGAAGTGAACTTATTGCAGTGAATTCAAAGTCCCTAGAATAAAAAATAAAACTGCAAAGATGCCCTACTCAGATCTCTACAATAACTATGAAGAATAGTACAAGATAGGAACAACATTAACTCTAATAAAAAAAACTTTTTGCTAATTTCAAAAACTACCTTATGAAAGTCACTGGCAGAAAGTAAGATTTTGTTGATGTTTTGGAAGGTCTTATGTGATTAGTGGGATGCAACTCTTTAATTAGCATCACATAATGGCAGAGCTATAGTGCCGTTCCCCCATCCCAGACCATTTCACATATTCTTGTCATATCTTATTTATCTATCACATTTATCCTATTTTTTCCCCTCTAATATGCAATTCCTCTTTTATTTGATTAGAAATACATTGAATACATACAATTTGTAGTTTACTTTTTCATCATTGATATTTATCATGCTTTAAAACTGCAAAATACCACGCAAAGTCAACATGCTGTAGAGATTTTCAAACAATGTTGCACTTGCTGGATAATTTGTGAAGATGATCTTTGTATGAAACCTAATGGTAAAACTGACCCAACAGGAAAAACTCCAGACTGCAAGACAAATCTTATGTGTTAGGACCCCATAAAATTGTTTCAGACAACACATGCAAGTTTTGCTATATATAATACCTATCAGTTAACAAGACATTAGCAAAGCATCACCTTTCCCCTCCTCCTGTCTGCTGCTCCCCATTCCGTCCTGTCTTATTCTGCTGGAGGAAACAGACTTCTTCCTCAATTAATACCGTGCGTGAATTTTACTGTATTTCTTAAAGAAAAGGATACATTCCTTCATCATAAAGTTATTTTGCTCATGGTGCTGCCACTTCCTCTCCAAATTTGTAAGCTGAAAACACAAAAAGAGCCAAAAAATGAAAACAACAATTATTACACATGTACTTTATACAAAGAATCTCCAAAAAATGTTGTGTCAATACCTTGTACTTAATCACCTGAAAAGATCAAAGTTATCTCACAAAAAACCCACAGAAATGAGAAACAATGGCAAAATGATTTTTAAAACTGCCTATGATTAACCTGTAATTTAGCACTTCACACATCTATTCATATAAAAGCACCGCATGCAACTGCAGTAGTAGATGGAAAAAAAATCAGATGAGAATTCAAGACTTGTCACATAGGGAAATGTGTGTCAGAAGTAAGAAGGTGAATACTGCAGGGAGATACTAATTCTCATTATACTTCATATCATTTAAATGATCTCTTCTTAAAATCAGTAAGATCTAAAATCACCAAAGATACAATATTTCCTGACACTGCCTTGGACTTTGAGCTATACAGAAGAAACTTCCTTACTTCCATAGTTAAGTTTCCTGTCTGATGCCAGAAGCTGTGATAAGAACAGAGCTGCAGCGCGAAGATTGTAGGAGTGTGGGTTAAGTGCTGGCACTTCTTCAATACTTTCAGCATCAACAGGAAACTAATGTGGACATTCTATCGATGGCTGCTTCCTTACAATACAATTTTATAATATTTGTTTTTCTGATGCTACTGTTCAAGGTTCTGCATTTCAAGATATGCAGACGTTATTTTTAAATGCAACAACTCAAAAACATTCTGAGACTAAACTTTCAGTGGAAACTAAGGTAACAAATTAGGAAAATATTGCAATATTTTACTTAAAAGCTTATTTTTAAGATAGAAGATATGAAAATAGTTGCTATATTACTCAAAATTCATCTTACAGTGAAGGATCAGCTATCTAGTGTACTGGTTCACAGCAAACATGGTAGTCACTTATTTCCAAGATACAATACTTCTGACCAATTATAATTTTTATTGCGCCCTTTGTAGGCGTTCCTATATGCAATCCAGCTGGTAAAGGAGCCTAGTTTAAAATACTGTTTGATATATACCAAAGGAAATATCAATGCATTTTTATAGTAATTCCCTGAATGCCACAACTCATACAGTTCACTGCTTTCAAAATCACCAAAGCCCTCAAGATATGTAAACCCTATTTGTACTTCAAAATGCTTGATGCATGTCAACTAATGAGCTATTTTAAGATATACCTTTATTCACCCTCATGACATTTACACTCATGACACAAAAAGCAAAGAAACAAATCCTTTTTGCACACATTGAAATAGAACTTCCACAGCTTAATGAACTGAAGAAATGCTTCAAAGCTACTACTTTATATAAAATTTTAGCATCATTATGCAAGTATCTTAACACTGGTTGGGTATCCATTTCTGATTTACATAATCTTTAGGAATAAGAATCTGATCTTGACATAAAAATTATACAATATCTGAAGCCTTGCACACTTTGGCATGCAGTTTTGGGGACATATATCATCACCCTAGAGTTAGCCCACAGGGATCACATGCTACGAATGTATCCATACGCCTCTTCATTTAGAGCTATGCTCTCTCATCCGCACCATAAAGAAGAAAGTTAATTTAAACATGTAGAAATATCTCCTTCAGCTTTTAACTGAATTAGAAAAAAGTAGCAGTTCTAAAGGGCAAAAATCTCAACAACCTGAAACAATAAAAATCAGTGAAATGCAGAGAAAATAATCAATTTCTATTTTTCAGCTTATTTTGATGTTATCTGTATTCCTTCTGTGTTTTCAAACCTACATGCCAGTAAAGTTCTGTTGCCAAAATGACAGCAGTTTATGGGTGTTTATACCGGAAGAAAGCAAGCTGCTCAGGAGTTTATAAACATCATCTTTCCTGATTCACTTTTGAAATGTAAATGTAAATATATACCAAAGTTCCTTGGGTTTAAAGAAGTCTGAACAAATCCTAAAACTTTAGTAGTCTGCAAGGAGCAGAAGGATTGGAAAAGGGGAAATGGAATTAATAGTACAGGTTGCAAGAAAAAGCCTATCACCATAACTTTAAAAGCAAAAGGAATCTTATCTATTTAGTAGTGACTTTTTTTCCTGTAGTTTCTTTCTAAGTTGGCCCTTGAAACTCCTCAAGCAAAGGAAGGGCAAAAGGGGCAGGGATCTGAGCAAGACTAATACAAACATTTAAACAAAGGATTTGCACAATTTTTAAGCTCAGAAAGACCTCTGCTTAGTAACTTTGAAATCCAAAGCTTATAAGAAATTTACTGGCACGATATTAACTTTTGTTTGGAAACAGAAAATATGGCTACGCATTTACAACACATAACTTTGAAAACTCACTGAGAAGGAATAAACCGATTGTGTTCATACAATGCTTCATGTTTATGAGTAAACTGAAACTGCCATAGAAGCAACTGAAGAGATAATACAAATACGTAGCTTAAGCCATACCTGAGAATGTGTCTCATTCTCTTGCAGTTCTCTCTTTAGTGTCTCATACTCTGTATTCAAGTGTTCCATTACTTTCTTGAAAGCATAGCTACGTTTTGTTAATTTTTCTTTGTCATCCTGGAGTCTCTAGGAAAAAAAACAACACACACTGATTAATGGATGAGCTCATTTGCTGTGGGCTACAGACAAAGTATTTTAATTCAGCTTTCAAGATGCTACTTTTTCTTCCTTTCAGAACAAGATCATACGCATGAAGAACTCATAAGGCTTTTCTCTAGCAATGCATGCTCTATCCTAAAGATAATATTTAATCGTTATGACCAAGTTGTAGGCTTAGATGAAACTAAACCAGCACATGTGGGAACGCTGATGTTAAGAATTTGTAGGAAATTTATCACGCGTGAAATGGGAAGTGCTCTAGATGGAGTTTGTCTTTGAACAAATACATGCAGGATAGATTTTTCTTTTCTGTTTGGGTTCTGTGGTTAGATTGCTACATTCGAACTTCTGGGCAGTCATAAGTTACAGCAGAAAAGTTAAGATGAATCATTAAAATGAGAAATTTTGTGGAAGGAAGTTATCAAAAGGTATCCTGCTACATGTACCCAGTTGATAAATCACATATATAAGCAGAGAAGCATTTGGATTCATTTGCACTGGTGTGCTAGCCCAGTTTTCAGCTATCAGTCAAGATTCCAGTCATAGACTGGGATTCCCCTCCACTGGGGGACCAAAACCACACAAATTCTGTATAATCCAAGGTTTCTTTCCTTTCATTACCTTTTTCTTCTCTTCTCCTGATGCTTTCAGAGCTGGCAAATTATTATAGACCGCCAACTCCATTTTTGTTTGTTCAATTTTGTCTTTAAGAGAAGTCAGTTCATCAACCATCTTGCCCTCCAAGAGTTCCATCTTCTGTAGGTCCATCTGCAGTTTTTGACTCTCTAGATCACCAGATACACAATCTCTAATTAACAGTGTGCTACACTTAAGCAATACAAACAGCTCCTGCATATCTTTCTGATTTGATATTCATGGGAATGTTAATATCGATGGAAGGAAAAAAAAACTGATCTTCACAACCATCCCATAAGTCAGACTCCTATACTGTAATTACTGCATTATACTCCATAAGTGAACAGTAATGAAAATGTGGTGATTTTCTATATCACAGTGTGGTATTTCTGTTGTTAAAGTTGTTTATAGTATCAGTCAATTTCAAGTCTTTAAGCAGTGGTGATACCATACAAAAAGTACACTGCAATAATGCAGGCAATTTAAAAAATATTTCTGTTAGTTTTTTAGCATCATGTTGTTTTTACTTTTGTTGCCTGTATACAATAAGACCTAGGTTTATGAGAGTAAATAGCCAAATTTGCTTTAAACATTTGCTCTGTACAGGAAAACTCTTCCGTATCTCCACAAAATAAGAACTGTCAAACCTTACAAAATGAGCATGTGCTACAATATACAGTATTTACTTCTGACAATCCATCAAAAAGAAACAACAGAGATACAAGTAATTAAAAAAGTTAGAAGTATGGATGGATTCTTACATGATGAGAGATGTAAAGACTGAAACTGTTCAGACATGAGATGCTTAAGAGAGGACACAAAAAAGACAAAACAAAAACTATACTTTGGTCCAGTTTTGGGGATAAGTTATCCGTCCCGAGTGTGGAAGGACTAGATATCGCTAGATTTGTTTTGGATGATTTTGTTATGTGCAGCCTTGTCATTGTATTTTCTTCATGTTCTTGACCATTTAAACACATGGCTACATAATCTTATGTTGAGAGCTGTGTCTAACTCAGAAGAATGATATACATAATGGAAGGTTTTTTTCTATGTTCTAAAATATCAGGCAAAGTGGGCTATTGGGATGGATGAGACAACACAAAGAAACTTCTCTCAGCATAGAGTGTGTATTTGTCTCACACACTCAGATTTCTGCCAATCACCTGGAAAAAAGGTAGGAAACTCACCCCCCAACTTAACCAAGGCAGTAGAGATCTTTATGGCATAAGGGAGTGGATGTGCATATGAGAGAGAGGGAGAGTTCGCCTTTCCAAAAACTGTGGGTATGGTTTCCTTAGTGGAATTATTTGGGAAAATCTGATCTGATCAAAACCCTGTCTTGGCAAGATTTTGGCACTCATCTCTCCTCCTGTGTATTTATGCCACATGCTCATTTTTTAGAGTGAAATATTGGCTTAAATCAACATTTTTGGCTTATTAGAGAGCTCTTTGGGGATTTTGTTAGGAGCCTCAAGATTTTAAAAAAAAAAAAGTCAAGCCAAGATTTTTGTGTACAGTATGGAATTATCCTGAGGAACACACTTCTATAAGGTAAGATTGAAAGGGTCCTGAAAGTGCAAAGAACACTTATATGAATACAAAAAACTTACATACTAGTAAAAAGAAGGGTTTAAAAATTAAAGGTTTGGAACTGCAGTGCATGTCTGTGATTCAATGTTTATGCTGCCTTCCACCCTAAAGGGCTTAAGAAAACACTTTCCCTGTGTCTAGAATATTTCATAACTGCCCATATTTTCACTTGGAAGCTCCTGGTATTGGTCAATGTCATATCCTAAACCACAACTGAACAGACCACAGCTCTACTTCTCTTGTTCTTACTGCACTGTGGTTTAAAGACAGACAAATGCTTAAAGACCTCAATAAATTAGGGCTTTAACATTAAAACCAGTAATAAATAGAATTATAAAATAAAAATAATTAAAATTGGAGAGAAACAGCAGAAAACCACTTCAGATTTTCTGAAGGATTTATTTAGGCCTAATCACAACATTTTTGCTTTTTATACAGTTGTTCTAATACTTATGTTTTGTTATTTTAAAAAAATACATAGTTGATTAATTGGGATTTATTTTACATGTAAAGAGTAATAACAATACAAATGCCAAAAAGCCAGAAAGGAGTCTAAGACTGTTCTATCTATATACCGATAAAAACTATGGTGAGACAGCAATGGTCTATTCCTACCCATCCACATTTTTCTGGAGAAAAGGGAAGAAACTGGAAGGGGTGAATGTTATCCTTATCCAGCAATAGCCTCAATGAAAAAAAAACCTCAAAACTCAAAAACCTCAAAACTTCTCTAGGGGAAGAGACAGGAAGAGGATGCAGCCCAGTTCCTTCTGATACGCCATGAAGTTGCAGCATCTAGCAGGCAGTGTGTACGCAGCAGCGAACTCTCAGACCAAACTACGGTGACCCAGGGAAATGTTTTTGGGAAACTATGCCATCAGCACTTTTGTTTACTCTTTGTGGTTTCCTTTTTTTTCTTTTTTTTTTTTTTTCCCTTCAGGGTTCTGCTGGTGGACTTTTTGTATCTTTGTTACGACAAGAAAGTATGGAAATCCAGACTTAATCACAACAAAAGAATTCTGAAGATGACTGTGCTACAATTCAAGGGTTAGAAAGAACTTCAACAGTGCAAACTGAATATTCACTGTATTTGGAAAGAATCTTAAGTTGTTTATTACAGTATCTGTGAGTCCTTACTTTCAGAAGTTTATTTACGAATCATTTAAAGGATCTGCTGAAAATTATGTGCCGTAACTTCCTCCTCTCCCCTTGGGAAGAAAGAAGTATGTCTTTCAATAATATCTCTATACTGCTATGTGCTTCCAGAATATCCTTTGTAACGTAATAAGAATTGATGCTTACACAGAAGAACAAAAGTCATATTTGAACTTGTAATGTATGGTCCAGCTTTCTAAACTACACTAGAACTGCAAAATGAGTATTTGCAGACAAGCCAAGACTAAATGTTCAAACACACAACAGAACGATCAATTTCTGTAACACTCTGTGCGTAACAACTTCTTTATTGCACATAACTACTTTGAAGTTGCAACACAGGCTCCTATTTTGAAAATTACTACCAAGTACAGCACGTAATACCCCTCTGAGAAAATGATTTATGGTTCTTAGTTCCTGCCCCTTCCTTTCAGGCAAACAAACAAGGAAAGGCTTGCTGAACCAATAATGATATTGGCAAAGACTTAGAATTATGAGAACAATTCTACTATAAACAGTGCAAATAAAGAACAAAATAGACACTTGTTACGGAAATGAAAGAAAAATACTGTCTGCTTCTTTAAATTACAGGCAAGATCCTGCAGATTCTTACACTTAATTTTAACTATTTGAGTATTTCCAAAATAAAATAAAAATGAATATTCGCTTGGCAGAATCAAAGCCTGAGAACTTGAGAGCTATTCACTGTTGTTGCCAGTTATTCTCCCATGGTACATACCCCTTTAGAAAAGCACAAACCGTAAGTAAGTGATACTACGAACTACATTTACAAATAACACATGGTTAGATAACTGTGGAAGTCTCTACTTCAGAATATTAAACACTATATTAATATTGTGCAAAATGTTTATTTCAAGGTGAATATTAGTAAAGTCAAACTTATAGCTCAAAGAACTTTGTACTCCTGTATTAAAATACATCTGTTTAATGTTTATCTGTGCAAGACAGCTCATCATTTACTGATAATAGTAAGTGAAATAATCCTGAGGAATATAAGCAACTTGTTATCCACAAGAGTTTTAATTTGTCAACTTGCCACTGTATTTGTATTTTAATATCTGGAGATCACTGATCTTGTTATTAGTGTAACAAGTCAGGTGATTTTAATTTTTTTAAGGAAAGAATTTGAAAATTCATTGCTGATCTCACCTGTAAGCAGATTCTTAGCAGTACTCTGTGATTTCTGCATTTCATTTGATTTGAAAGTGAGGTCCTCCTGCATTATCTTCAGCTCTTGATTGCTAACAGATGAAATTTGTTTCATACGATTCACATTCTGTGTGTTACCAATAACAATAATGAGAACATGCCGTATCCTTGAAAAAGCGAATGGTAACTGGACAAGGAGAAAACTCTCCTGTCCTAGTACATTGTCTATTATTTGGCTTTTCTACTACAAAGACTGGAAATAGTCTGAAGCGATTTAAATGTGAACAACTTTCATTCTGCCAACTTTTGATAAAAGATGTACTGGCGGGCCAGTGAAGATGAAACAAAAATGCAGCAAGTATAAACTATGTTGCCATATTGATCTCTGTAAAGTAAGTGACATTGCCTAAAGTATAGCTTATGGTGTACCATACTGAAAGAGTTAGAAGATGATTAAAGTGATGATATAATCAAGGCATTACTCAGCTGAAAAATTTCTACAAGAAAAAATTCCACAGGAACCAAAAACATTAAAAGAAAAAATGTTTTGAAAGCGCAAAAAATGGCAGAATGCAAATGGAACAATCTCTAAAGTGATTACATTAAATATTACACAGCAGGGTATTCCAGACATAATTTTAGTAGGTCAGAGAGATGATTGGAATATTGTCAGTTACTTCATAGTAGTGAGAGAATACCCATGAACTGAGATTTGCAGATATTAGGTAAACAAAATATTGCGGTACTTTTACTTGCAGTATTCTGCAGTGTTTATCATGAATGGAATAATGTTCATTATAGCAATGATGATGAGTTACAGCAACTATGCAAACATTTCTTTTATTCTGGTCACAAGTATTATCTAATATTCAAATCTCTTTCTCCGGAAATAAAGAGAAATTGCAAATTTTTTTTCTTTTTTTTTTTTTTAACTACAGCTGTATATGGTTTAATGCTCTTCAGAGATTATTATGCAGATATTGACTGGATAATATATAAAACCCACCATTCTTCTTTCCATTCATTCTCCTGTTCTGTGCTTCTAAATTCCTAGCTTGCCACAGGAGGGAAGTGCACTTACCCTGCTTGAGTGCTCCAGGAGTGCAACAATGTTGGCTTCTATTTGGGCCTTTCGTTCCAATTCCTGATTCTTCACCTCTTCAAAAGTCTCAAGAAAATCTAGAAATCAACAGACATGATAAAGAAGGCTGCTATTTGCATGAGTACAGCACAAGCCCTTGCCGTTTCCAGTCAAAACTCTGTACTAAATTGATAAGCTGTACAATTTCAGAAAGGTTACTTTAAGATTAATGGTTAATTTAAAGAGACATGGTGGAGTCCTTGAAAACTGTCAGCTTATGGGTTGGAATGAAAAAGAGGACAATTTTTCCAGAGACACATATTTGACAGATTAATGACATGAGGTCACCACATTCTTTGATACTGTTAGGTGAGGGTTGCCACCCAATAAAAAAGGATTTTCATCACTATTATTTCTGACACCTTTCTGAATGCTTGTCCAGCAGCTGTTAGTCTTCATTTTTCTAACAGCTATCAAAATGGACTACTAGATAAAGGAAACAGGTGACTTCACTATATCTAATGGCCTGGACTATATGATAAACACTGTTAAGGACCTGAGACCAGTATTCACCTGGTATAATCTCTTTCTTTCTGCATGATGTCCCTTTGCTACATCTCTAATTTATGTTAATTCTAGTAAGCGTCCAAATGAATCTGACAAGACAGTTGTAATGGTGCTATGCACTCTATATTTGTGTCCGAAGCATACTACCTTGTTTCTTAGTGGCAGACATATTGAAAAAAAGGTGCTGGACACACCACATGAAAGTCAGAGGTCCATCAAGATGCCACCCAGGGCTATAAGTTATGATCACCCCTCTTCTGTTGGGTGTTCTCCTGAAACACGGATTATGTACACACAGGAGCACTCAGGAAACACAAGTTTGCAAACTTTGTAGCTGGATGAAAAAGGGGAGAAGTGCTTGCTGAAGCAAGAATGATTAGATAATAGTAAATTCAAGATGGAGTGCTTGGGAAGAGAGAAAGAAGACAGGAGGAATCAATGGAAATACTAACAAATCCTGAAAGGATGAAGAGTGACTAGAAATGGTGGATCCCAGAGCAACCAGGATTAAATTATTTATTAATAAAACATTTATGGATAAGAAAACTATTGTAATACCTGACATCATCTGCAATGCTGTCCATGAAAGAGTTAACAGAGATGCTTCACAGAGTCAGCTTCTAAAACTTTTAGAGGGGAAAATGTGCATTATCGGAGCCAGGGGACAATACTAAGATACTAAAAAGACTATCTCTGAGGCAGAGACTTCAGAATGAAAGACACTTGGAATTCTTGGAGGTCAATGAATGGCATTAGATAACACATTTACAATGTCAATAGCTGATTGCTAAAAATAATGACTAATTCTGATGAAGATTTGGTTGGGTCAAAAAGCTGAAATGAAGTTTTGGTCCACCTGACACTGACTAGTTTTCCTCCAGTACCCAGGCTGCACATGAAGCTATCCTTAGAAAATGAAGTTTTATTTTCTCTCTGTGATGTTATTTTGCTTCAGAACAAACTTTTCTTTTTTTATCTTAAAGATAACACACGTTAATAAGATAGCACACCTTAATAAGAGGAGTAACAATGACTGCTCCAAAAAAAAACCCTTCCTCAAAGGGCATTCACTGGATAATTCATACCATCTGTTGCTGTGAAATACAGACAGGAATTTTCTACACCAAGAAAATACCTGAGCACAACAGAAGCAAGGGAAAGGCAGAAAGGAAAGCAATAGTACTGAAGTTCTCGCTTAATACTCTCACTTAACATTTGAGCTACTCTTTCCTTTTCTGTTTAAAAAATTAAGTGGGTAATTTTTAGAAAGAGAATCACTCAGATAACCTAACACACAGAAAACTTTCAATCACACTTAACTGTGTAGTGATCTAGTAGTGAGCAATGACTTACTAACCTCTGCCTCGTGTGGGGGTCTGAGCCACTTCTATTCAATGTGACAGATGATGCTACGGCCTTTGATGCATCTTAGCAAGAGGTCTTAAACAAGTTCATTGCAATACCTTGATAAACTTACTTATTTGCTTCCAAGGAAGCTATAGGCAATGAGGACATTGAGTCTTCCAAAGCATATGCATAGGGAAGGCAGAGGAATGAAACAAAAGCACCTTCATGGAAGAAAAGCATATGAGACGAGAACAAACTAAAGCACTTTACATCCACAAATACACTGGCTAGTGTACTCTCTCTCCTCTCATCCAACTGATTAATAAAAGTATTGACTAAACTGAACATCCAACACACTGCAAAAGTCTACTCAATGCATGCTTCCATCTTGGCCATGAAACCTTCATAATTAACAATTTTTTAATCAAATGCACAGCATAGGTTAATAATGAACAATATTTCCTTAGCTTGCTTCTAAGAACACTATTGGGACAACAGTAGAAGATGTATTGAAGTAAAAGTATACATCATCTGCTGCTCCTCCCTTATTCTGCAATGTTTTTTAAAGAAGGAAATTAGTTGTTTGCTCTTGACAAATTAATACAAGTATTATTCTTACTCTTGTTTCTGAAATGTTTATAAATTATTTGCTTTCTTATTTTTACCACAATCTTTCTGGAAATTGATACTATGCTGACTGCAGGTACCATATACGCGCTTTTCCCATCTTTAAGATTCCTACATGTTTCCCCAAATCTCTCAGTTAATCTCAAACATCTCTGGAACTACATAAATATCCTCTGATGAAAGGCAGAAGCAGAACCAAACCCCCAAAAGTTAGAAGGATCATGAAGCCCCGCTTTCACTGTCTGTATTTGTACTGAAAATAAAGATCAAGCAAGCTTTTGCCCTTCTGCTTCTCAGGAAATCAGGGAATTTGGAAATGCAGAAACTAAGTACGCTCTAATCCATCTTTCCTTGTTTACAGCTGAGACCTTTCTTTTAGTATCACGCTAGCCATAAGTTATATTGAACATTTTTAGAGAATACTGTTACAAAAAGGTATTATCTACTTTGGCCTTCATGGACCAATTTTCCCCTTTTGCTAAGTAACAGACCAACTTTTTTTGTAAGCTTCCTACAACAGTATAATAGAAACATGGTATATTTTAAAAACAGTTCTGTTTTCATTCTCTGTTAGTTGCTGCTGAGCTCTCTACAACATCTGGCTCAGGGAAATCCCAAGCACAAATACAGGCTGGGTGGGGAATGGCTGGAGAGCAGCCCTGAGGAGAAGGACCTGGGTGTGCTGATTGACCAGAAGCTCAACATGAGCCAGCAACGTGTGACTGCAGCCCAGAAGGGCAACTGTATTCTGGGCTGCATCAGAAGAAGAGTGGCCAGCAGGTCAAGGGAGGTGATTCTGCCCCTCTACTCCACTCTCATGAGACCCTACCTGGAGTACTGCGTCCAGGTCTGGAGTCCCCAACATAAGAAGGACATGGACCTGTTGGAGCAGGTCCAGAGGAGGGCCACAAAGATGTGAGAAGGCTGCAGCACCTCTCCTATGATGAAAAGGCTGAGAGAGCTGGGGCTGTTCAGCCTGGAGAAGAGAAGGCTCTGGGGAGATCTTATTGTGTGCTTCCAGTACCTAACGGGGGCCTACAGGAGAGCTGGGGAAGAACTTTCTATTAGGGCAGGTAGCAATAGGACGAGGGGGAATGACTTTAAACTGGAAGAGGGCAGGTTTAGATTAAATATTAGGGAGAAATTTTTCACTTTGAGGGTGGTGAGGCACTGGCACAGGTTGCCCAGAGAGGTTGTTGAGGCCCCATCCCTGGAGGTGTTCAAGGCCAGGCTGAATGGGGCTTTGAGCAACCTGGTCTAGTAGGAGGTGTCCCTGCCCATGGCAGGGGGGTTGAAACTTGATGATCTTCAAGTTCCCTTCCAACTCTAACCATTCTATGATTCTATGATTAGAACCTTTTAATATGGAAAAAAGCTTTAGTACCACTCATCTTGAATAAACAGATATGAGAAGCCTTAATTTTGAAGAACTACATGATGTCTCTGCTTGTCCATTTTGAAGTTCTGCTTTTAATCAGACCTGAACAGCTGTTTTTATATATATATTATTTACATTATTTTTAAAATTAATTTCAGCCTTTGTTTCATAAAATTAAACTGTGTTCCTAAGACCTCAAATGTTTGATGAAAAGCCTTGAAAGATGCTCATAATATTTGTGACTGACCTGTAAGTCCTTGTCCTGTACTGAGGCTGATCACAGAAACTTTATGTGAAGATTAGGACATCAGTTTTTTTCAGCTCTAAATTAACTGAGTGTTAACAACACAAGAAACCCTGTATTTTAGTGGAATTAGGCCTAATTAGCATATATTAGACAACTTACTGTCCATGCTTTCTTCCCTCTTCTTCAGCTCCTTGTATTTCCAGTTTTCCTCTCCTGCAACAGACGTAATATTGATTTAACTTTATACTGTTTCAGTCCTGGATTCCTTTAGGTACAGAAAATGTCAGTTTTAAAATTAAAAATTCTACATTTAATGTAGTCACTTCAACTACGTTATACACACTTTTATATTAAAAAAATATAATTAGCTTAATAAATCAGCCTCAATGCAATTTTTGGTAAATGAGAGTGGGACAAATATTTGGTTTGAATACAGGCAGTTCATAGGATTTTTATGAAGTCAGGCGAATTTCAATAATAGAGAACAAATGATTTTGTGTCTTTGGGCACCATGATTACTTAAAACTTTCTGCAGCTCTGTTTAACATATGGGCCATTTCAATGGCACTTTTACATATTAGAAAGGACTTTCATAAGGATACACAACTTATAAGCAACAGCATGACAACCTCAGGGAAATAAACAGAAAAACTGTACAAGCAATAGTATAGGAAAAAATGCACAGAAAGCTTTCCACAATTAACATTAAAAGAACACTACCATTCACATTCTTTATAGTAGTTTTATGAGTAATGAGTAACATACAACACAGAATTCATTCAATTTTTAAATCCAACTACTGACTATAAATAGCTCTTAATTAAAATGTACTAGTAAAGTGGGAGACCTGACATATTCATCACAACTTTAAAGAAGATGAGACAATTCAGCTCCTAAGAATAATTTTAAATTTCAAACATGTAAATTTTTAATTTTTGAGTCTTTGTCATTGATTAATTTTCAGCATAATCTTGTAACTTTAAAGAATAGAAAGAAAAAGAATGAAGTAGATACAGATATAGCTGAGCAAGCAAATTTCTGCAGGTCTTTTTACTTGTACACTCCCATGCTTTCCTTTTTATCTAGGATATACAAACAATAAGAACACCTGTGGGCCCCTAAGGGACTGTGATTCTGCTTCAGTTTCCTTGCAGCTGTGGCTTTGTTCCTCACTGGACTCTCTCTTTCACTTTGCAAGGCAAGTCCCCCAGTACTTAATAACTCAGTCTATTCTACTCTTAAAATGTCTAGTTACAGTGAGTCATGAAACAGAGTTACATGATGTGCCAAGTGTTTAAAGAAAAAAATATTTGAAATAAAGACCACAACCTTTAAAATGTCTTTACAGAGAAGTTTTCTTTAAAACATGGCATGATTACATCAGTATCTTAGCCCTAGTGGGTGAATTTTTTACTTATTCAGACTTTCTTAAGTGAAAACTAAACCCAGTTATTTCTATTTGGTCTAGGTTTTTTTTGTTTCTCCTGCTCAAAAATGTTCCTAGCACTGAAACATTTACCCCGAAACTTTAAAAAAAGCCTTAGTTGTCAAGTTTATTTTTAACTAAAAACTTCAGCATCTGAAGTTTTGTGAATGTTTTGTAATAAGCAGTTTAAATACTGAGCCAGAAGGAAGCTGACTGGGGAGGGAGAGAGAACAGGAATCTCGAGGACACACCAAGATGCCGATTTAGAGCAGAAGTATGAATGGCCCTCTGGGATTCTCTCTCCATTCACTAGAGAAGAGGGTGTTGAGAGTCTAGACTGCTGTTTCTTAAAGCTACTCCTTATGAATATCTCCTTTATTCCCTCTATGTTATACCAACAGGTATAATTCCCTCTATATTACACCACAAGAAAACTTTATTCTGAATATCCTAACTGTTCCTTATATGTTGACAGAGAGCATATGCTTTTTTTTCCCTAAAACAGTGAGAGACATACTGTTCAGCAATGAATGATGACTGTGTGTGTAAACCTAACTATGAAATGCGAAAAGCAACTCACTTCTTACCTTCTGCATTTCTCCAAAGATACAAAAAAAAGAGTTCCAAGCCAAACAAAAAGGAAAAATTAAAGCAGAATAGTGAAGTTGGCAATGATACTATCTGGAAACAAGAAAGCTAATAAAACAGTCTTAATAAATTATTTTCACAAAAACAATGAAATATCTTGAGAAATATGAAGTATCTTGTAATGCAAAAGATGAGAAACAGATGTATTAAACACCTGTTCAGGGCCAATTTCAGAAATATTTGTTCACCTTTAAGAAATTTACAGCTAAATTTTACACTGTTCGCCTCAGAAAAGGTATAAACTAAAAAGGACACAAAAACATTAATTCATCAGTCCTACAGAATTTAACTAACCTGTTACAAAGCCTTCCAGAATTTACGCACATATTTATGTAACTCCTATCCAAACAAGATTCCTTATAATTAGGAGAAGGTTTTCCATGCGATGATTTCCATTATAAGGAGACTCTTCCACAGTTGTTGAGGGCCTATGCTCAAAGTAAGTTACTTCCTCCAGAATCATAAATTCCAGTGCTAGGACAAACCCCAACCTAACTTAGCCTAATGTATTACAGCAGGCGTTTGCCAGAGGTAAGTTTCTAAGCCAATGCCATTCCTAGGCAGCTCCCAAACTCTTCTTGCAAACATCAACCCAAGAAGTTTCAGACAGATAAAAACAGTACTGAATTCTGTCTGCTTTACACATTACTATTAAACATTCTCAATTCCACATTCACTGACAGTGTATCAGATCATGTAAAAGGTAAAATAAATAAAATCTTTTCTGAAGCTGCTGCCAGTAAGAGAAACTTCTATTCCTCAAGTAGTCCTAAAAATAAAATTGGGACAGAAAATCAGACAGATGTACTATTATTTTATATGGCAGTTTTACTACTCAATATGAACCTGATGAATGTGCCACTAAACGTGGGTACTCCCTATGTCTCTCATCTAAAAAGAGAAGCCTGCACCCATAGACAGAAAACATTCTTCTGATGGTGAGTAATGAACATTTGCATAAGCCTAAAAGCTTCAAGCAACTAATGTCCATAATAATATGTGTTATAATACGAACAGACACAGCACTGCGTAGTCTGCTACAGCTCTAGTCATATTACCTTGATGATTCTCCAGATCCATATCAAGTCGTTGAATAACCTTTTTAAAATGGTTTGTTTTTTCTTTTACTTCTGTCAGCCTGACAAATAGATAACAAAATCCAAGGTTAAAAATGAGTTGCAAAATACTTTTTTTTGACAAAAAATGGAAAGAAAAATCAAGAATAAAATAGCAAACCTACATTTATCAAAACCAAAAGCAATCAGGAGGATTGCTGTTATTATAAAAGGTGGATGTAAAGCACCTTTCACCTTAGTCCCTATACCTATTAAATATAAGTACTGATGCTCTTTTTTACTAAAAACATTTTTTGTTGAGTCATCAGTAGTTCTTAACTTACTCAATTGGTCCCTCTCCTGGTTACTATACAGCTTTGCAGAGGTACAACATAATTGGTAAAATGCAACAAGGAACAGTATTCCTTAAAAATTACCTATGTGTTCACTAAAATCCATTACGAATTTGCCAAGTGAAACACAAAATCAATCCAAGTGAGAAAGGAAATTACCTTAAAAACAGTTCTATGTAAATTCTCAAAAATAATCCTCTGCTAGTGTTTCTTTCAAAAAAAAAATCTGTTAAGCAACTTGCTATCCAATCAAAGGTGTCAATGTATTAAAAATTAACCAGTGATTACAGTTCGGAATACTGCTTAAAACAATTTAAAATTGTTTCTAGGAGATTTCAGGATTTATCTCAATTTTTCTGTACAGAGGAGAGAAATCAGATGGCTCAAAATCACAAAGATATTGTACTGCTTTATCTCTCCACCCCAATACATTACTACTTATTACCAGAGTTTCTGGCAAATCTTCAGAAGGGTCCAGTACCCAAGAATCAAGAAGCAATGCCCTGTTGCCCTTTAGACTTGAACTTTCTGTAAGCAACTTTGTAACTCCTTGATTTTAAGAACACATAACAAATGCAATGCAGTTTAATGTAGGCTCAACTTCACAGACGTCCCAGATCACTAGCTCTTATGGATGAATGTGTTCTTCAGCCTTAAAGAAGTTTATGTCAGTGCTATTACCAATTTGTATTCTCAAGGCATGTTCATAAGGACAGGAAGTATCTTCTTATGCAGATCTAGATGCCCTATCACTATAAAAGCTGTTTAGCTGAAACAGAAGGATATATTCTGTTTTCTGTGGAAGGTTAACACTAGCAGAGGATCCAAAGTATGGTGATGTTCTAAAAGTCCATAGAAATATGTGATGGAATTCAACTATCTGTTTTTAGGGTGTAAATATAATTTGTAGCAACAGTATAACGAGATTACTCACTGTCTTTCCATGCTTGCTATTTCTTGACTATCGTCCTTAACCTATAAAAAAGTGTAACTACTTTAACATACGAAATGAAATCTACAAATGAAAAAAGGAAAATCAAAAAGATTTCTTAATTCACTATACGGGGAATAGAAACTCAGCATATGAAATCACAAACTTGCTGTCACATTGTCCAACAATGGCTCTTCATTGAACAGAAGTGATATGATTTAACCGTTATGTCTTCCAAATGTTCTCCTGCTTTCTCAACACACATCTAAAAATCAGACACACTTACCAGTGTTGTTCAGTCCAATAATCCATATAGTAGTATATATGGATAGTTATGCAACACAGCATAGACCTTTGTAAAGTAAATAAATTGTTCCTGGATTAGCACATCTGGTCAGTACCCCACAAGGATACTGTCTGGAGTTATGTTATAGAACTGTTCAATAGGATCAGTTTTCCCATACCAATATGACTGATGAATCACAAGTCAACCAGCTGAAAAACTGACTGCACCAATTTTGTTTCGGCTGAACCTAAAACAACCCATCAAGCCAATTCATTCTTAATTTCAGATGATTTGTGCGGCTTAAAGAGCAAATAAAGGCAAGATTCAAACCCAAGTATTTTCAAATATTATCATACCTGAAAATACTGACTCAGAGAATCTTTTACACTATAACATTTTATGTTCTTGCCTGCTTTAGTAATCTCTCCCTTTCTTCCTGTGGAGATTCCATGTTCTTATCCTCAGCAATCATTTGATCTCGACGTTCCTCAAGCTCATGGAGCTTTTCATACAGCTGCACAGCCTCCTGTTTCACCTGCGAGTGTGCTATTTCCTGTTGGGAAAAGCAAACGCCTACTAGCTATTTTCAGATGGCAAGACAGCATTGCAGAACTTGTGCTTTAGTTAAACAACACTTATCTATACATTGAAAGTAAAGCCTATTCGTTACAAACAGTATAGGGACAGTATAAACAATAAACTTTATAGTCCATACTCTCACTATTGCACTTTCTGGAACGGAATATCCCAGTAAGGTACTTCTTGCTTTATGAGTTCACCCTTAGGCCAATTTTCTGAGTAGATTTACTATTTCATCATTTCTAGGGGATCACAAACCATATACAGTATTCAAAAGGACTGGAAAAATGTCTAGTAGTATTTGGAAATTATACTTTTTGAATATATACGTGACTGCATGTTTCAGCTCATAGATCCTTTTACCCATGAAAGACCCAGTGCAAGAAAATTCTCCTCAATCTAGCAATATGACAAAGTATTACAAGTTAGTGTTTATGCATGTATGTGGGACAAAAAAATACTTCAGCAGGTACCACTTTGTGCTTCAAATGCCAGTTGCTTTTGAAATGGAATGCGGAACAAGAAAATCATTCTCACACATCCTGAAAGTTGAAAACGTTGAAAAACTGGGTGTCACAAATCTTTAAGAAGAATGTGAATAATAATTTCATGTTTATCTTCAGAGAGTAATTCCAAATCAATCAAATGTCACACAAAACATTTGAAACTACCCAAGTAACTAAAGTTAGGAAACTTCACTATTGCTATCACAATTTTGTACTTGGCATCTAGTAAAAACAATTTTTACCCCAAACTGATTAGAAATTATAGGTGGAAAACAGAGAGGCAGCTTTGCCTTCCCATTCTAGGGCATGATCCTATAATACCTGAAACTTTAAGGAGAAAGATTATAGGTATTTTTCTACTGTATTATTTTTCACACTGGAGTTCAGCGAAGATTGGTACAGAGACCATTTGTTATCATACATACAGCTCTTAGAGCATCCTCCTTTACACTTAATGCATCCA